AATCAGACTGACTATATCAGTATTTTGCCATTCAACATTACTTGAGGACTTAGCTACAATAGCTCTGTAAAGTTCTTGGCAATCAGTGTCAAAATATATCTTTGAATAATTAAATTGATCACTGAAAGAAATAGCATCACTGTCAGTGATCTCATTTTTCTGCACACACTGCCAAGAAACAAACCCTCTTCATTTGTGCAAACAATCCCAATTCCAGCAAACCAGAATCTTTACTAAAAGCTCCATCTAAGTTTGTTTCAACGGAACCAACTGGAGGAGACTTTCACCTTGTTTTCCGTTTGAGAACCAAGTTCATTAAAATCACCTAAGCAAAGCCAGGTATCATTGAGCCCACGAGCTAAAGATTGAAGTCTGTTCCAAACTAGATTTCCATCATTTTCTCTAGGAGCACCATAAATAAAAGTAATGAAAGATGGCACATTTAAAACCACAGATTTGACTCTAGCATGGATCAAAGTTTTTGACTGATACAGAGCCTTAATATCTACACAACTCTGCCACCAAAGAGCCAATCCACTAGATTCTCCACGAGGTTCCACATATAATTCATAATCCACGTTGCACACTAGATTCTCCACGAGGTTCCACATATAATTCATAATCCATGTTGCAAGCTCCCAAGTCTTTTCAATTTTTCACTTCTCATTCTTGTTTCCATAAAAAAAAAATGATTGAAGGTCTGACTTTTCTATTGCAGTCTTTCAAATTTCTAATTGTCAAAGAAACCCCCAAACCTTGACAATTCCACGATATGATTTTCATGAGATTGGCGGGGCTGTTGAAGGCCAGCCCCTTTGCCTTTGGAATTTTCCATCGAATCACATATGCCAGATTCCTCATACTACTTGGCTTTCTTCAAAGCAATTCTTGTCATCTTAGCTTTTGTTTCCCTAAAGCCCCCTGCAAATTCAGCAATAGAATTCTTCCTATAGGCATCACCACTGCCCAGCTTTCTCCTTTTCATGATGTATAGCACACTCCAAATCATCATAAGCTTCCCGTTTCAGGTTCAAATTCCCCAAATTGACAGTGACATTTTCCAAATAAAACCCTTTGTAAACCTAAAATTGTTCTAGAACTATTATCACTATCCATATGAACAGAAGGAACCTTCTCAGTACTAGCATCAGACTTCTTAGTTATGACTCCTACCGCCTCTTCATAATCAGATAACAGCCTTCATGGGAACTTGGTCCCACTATGCTAGCACCATGATCAACATTATTCAAGGAAGAATACAAAGAATTATTGCCAATTTCGGAAACTTGTTGCACTGGATCCAGGAAGTTAACTTTCTTTCCTTTAAGAACTTCATTAGATTTAGAAGGAATACAAAGCTGACAATTGTCCCTTCTCTTAGTAGCCATAATACTCTGAAAACCATTTTCATCAGCATCATGACATTCCCCGTTTCATTCTTCAGCCGCAACCACTTCAGATTTACCTCGGACCAACCTTCTTGCAAAATAACCAGAGTTCTGATTTGGTTTGTAACAGTCCAAGAGCCAAATCTTGGCAAATGAGGATTTTTATTATTATTTTTTAACCAAATATATTTCATTAAAAAAGGAAACAAATAGCCCCAATCCAAAAAAAAAAAAAACAAACAAACAAACTGGAAAGTGAAAGAGTGCAAAAGATAAAAGTATAGTCACAATCAAGCTATTCGAACAACAATACTATTTTAAACATTCTTAGAGTTAATCCCAATAATTTTTCTTTCTTTCTTTTGAATATCACAATAATTTACAATAATGAATATTCCTAGTAAATGACCGTAATATCATAGTCTTAATTAATCAAATCATTGTTTGTTTCTTAATGAAGGTTGGCATCGCGCAATTTGATTCCAAGGTCATCTCTGTGAGCTTTTCTTTTCCTATCTAATTTGATTGCAGAGTTTGAGGTAATTAACTAAATGTGTATTTTATATTTCTTGTTGATTTCATTTTAGTTATTTGAAAAGCCTTATGATAATACAAACTTCATATACATAAATATACAAGGATTTTTTTCCACTTCAATGACTTCTGTAATTATGTCAATAATGCTTAGTTATAATATTTTAGGGGCTTAGTGCTTTTTTTTTTTAAGGAAATCAGACGAAATATTCTCTATTTTGTTGGAAAAAAATTATCCATTTTATCATATCATTTTTAAAGAATAGTTATTAATTTTCATTGTTGTCTATAATTTTTTTGATAAAGTGTAACTTGAGCATTCCTGCTTTTCTTGTGCTGTCATAATTAATTAGTTTTAGTTGTCATCTTTCTGCATTGGCTTCGGACTCAAAAGATATCACAATTATTTATAGGTAATTATCATAATATCATTTCTTTGTTTTACATATCTTTAACTTATAGTATTTTTTATAGCAGGGGAATATTATAAAGTAATACATTATTAATCTCAATATCATCATTTTGGGAAGGAAAAAAAAAGTATAACAGCAGAATGGGTACTTTTTTACTTGATTATATATCTATAATATAAGCATTTTCCCCTCCCATCATAATATTGAGAATTTCTCTTTGTCACATAAATATCAATCACCGCAAAATATGAAGTACATAGAAAAAATAAATGAAAACATTTTTTTGGATATAAAACTAGGTATCATAAGATTTCTTTTTTTTTTTTTTTGCGATGTACAATCTACTGAGCTTTTAAGACCCAAGTTACACTATATAAAAATTATTATAAAATAATTATTATAATTTATAAAATAAAGAATAAAAACTTCAAGAATAAAGATATTTTAAGAAAATAAGTTGCATCTTTTTCTTCTCTCCTCTCATTTTCTCTGATACTAAACTAAACGGATCCTAAATGTTATTTTCATCAGACAAAAAAATTGTCACTTTCCTAAACTTAATATATTTTTTCGATTCAATTTGCTTGCTATGGCCTACGTGCCATTTCTGCAATATCGAAACGCCTAAACCAAGCGGATTTGATTAATTTTAATTTATTATTGTTTGGCCGCTTCTTTAGTGTACAAGTCTTTATTAGTCACAAGCAGGGCCATGTGAATGCGATAAACAAGAAAATTACGTGTCAAAGAATCATTAACAAATAAAAAATAAGACAAGATGTCCCTCCCTAACTTGAAGACTCTCTTTTTGATTTAAGATCTAATTACAAAATTAATATTGATCATATATATAAAACCTATTTCATATATTTATTAATTTTTTAAAATCAATCTTATTGATATTCTCTCAATAATAATCAAATAGTAAAAAAAATAGGAATTAAAAAAAGACACTTATTGTGTTTTAGAAAAAATATATCGGGTTAACTAATGTAACTAATATCCTTAACTCACTCAAATTATTTCATTAAATCTTATATTAAGGCCAGAAAAAATATATATTTTTTAAGAAAACAATAATCTATATGATGATAATCTAACTATGACAAAAGAATCATTAAAAAAATTAACATGATTAGTCTTTGTTTACTTACCTTCGGTCGTTTCGGCTTTTTTTCTTTGAAATGTCCTTAAATTATTGCTAGAAGACAAATCCACTGGGCTGATTATATTTTAATACTCCTCCGGTTCTTAATATAGGATCTAATTATTAAGTTGGTTTTGATCCTAAATATAAGATCCATTTCTCATATTTATCAATTTTCTCTAAATTACCCCTATATACTCCCTCAACCATAATCAAGTAAAAGAAGGAGATGGGGTATTAAGAAATATTATTATGGTGTTTTAGAAAAAATGTGTCACATTTCTTATAATTAACTAACTTACCTCACTTCGTTAATCTAATCAAATTAGTTAAATGGGCCTTATTCAAGTACCAGAGTAGTATTTGGTCATTACTAGCAAAGATTCGTTATCCTATGAGTCTACGAATATGACAACAGATTCATTATTTAAATATAAAAAAAAATACTAATTTCGGTTCTCGTTATAAAAGCCAGTTAACTGATTTGAGAAGATTAAGAAATAAGTTAAATTAGTTATTTATAATAAATAAATGTTGTCTTTCCTAAAATATTCTTACTAATTAAGTATATTGGCTAGAATTATCATTCTTAAAAGGATTATCTTGAGAAAAATACATAAATATAAGAGAAAAAAATAGATTGGAGTGTTATATTTAGAATCAAAATAAAAGTCAAACGATATCTTATATTAAAAAGCAGGAGGTAGTAACTCATTAGTGACTAGCATGTGGACGGACCAAATCAAAATAATTATAGCGGCTATTCTACAAATATGACAGGAAAAAAAATGTGAATGTAAATGCATTTTCTGGTGCTCCAGAATATCCCCCTCTAAATTGACATTGGAGAAAAATAAATAAATCTACCTTAAATTTAATCAAAATTTAAATAAATCTCATAGATTTAAAAATCAACCTCTTAAATTTACAAATAATTCTCCTAAGATATTCTTTTTACTTTTTGGCGTTTACTAAATTAGATTCAGTCCTTTTCTGGTGCTTTGCTTCATTCTCCCACGGCTCGAAAATTTATCGCCATAATTTTCATCACTTATGTATTACTGATAAATAATATTAGTATATAGCATATAAATTATTTATAAAGTTAGTTAATTAATTAACCTGCGATGTGAACTTTTATAAATTGTTTTAATACAACATGTGAGAAATATATTTATAATTAAAGCGAATTATTTTTTCATTCGATCTCAAATTTATACAGATTGTACGTGTGCGTCGTGCTTGGGACATTATTCCGAATTTGGAATTATTCTGAATATAGCTTAATTTTTTTGGCCTTGAATTAAATGTAGCTTACTTTGAACTTTAGAATTGGTGTTTCCATGGTTAAAGAGCTCAAGTCAAGGCGCACGTGGAATCATCAACTCTCTGCTGTTTTTTTGGGCTGACAAAAGAGGGCCCAAGGCCGACGCACTACTCATGACCTACCCTTACACGACGGCTACCCCATGTTCCTCTTATATTCTTCGCATAATACCTTCAAGATCTCTGCTTCCTCTTTCCAGATCTGCAAGGACCCAACCATTTCCAGAGTCAACTTCGCAAGAGCGTCTGCTACAGCGTTCGCTTCTCGCCTAATCCACTCTGCTCTGACTTCCCACCTTCGATCCATTAAGTCAGCAATCTCCTTCCATAAACAACAGGTAACGCCTCCTTCTTTTTCCTTCCCCTTCAACCTTCTAACGGCTTCTCTCGCATCAACCTCCAATATCACCTTTTTGATCCCCAAATTCGAAGCTACTTCCACACCCCTCCTTATACCCCAAGCTTCTGCCTCTTCTGGTGTGCAGCGCCCCACTTCCGCCGATCAACTCTCTACTTTGCTTACCATTAGTTCTTGTTCTGCCTCCAAAAAAAAAAAAAACAAAGAAAGAAAAAACATTATCTTAAGTTCATATTACAGGTAAATAACAGAGTATAGTTTTTTTATAAAATTTTTTTTGGGTGACAATAGATCTTGCGGTTGATGCAATAGATCTTCCAGCAGCTGCGGTGTCTCTGTCCTCCAATAATATGTCCAGACATTCAGTCTTTTTTTTTTCCTTAACATGACCATAAAGTAGAAAAAAGGTTTTTTGTTTTATATATCTGTTACATCATTAAGTTAAAATTTTCAAGGTATCTAAACTCCCCCTTAATAGAGTGTGGGTTTCTCTTTATTCTGCTAAAATATGCTGAAAGCAGCACATAGATAGAACCAGATGAGTGTGTGTATTGTTAGAGTCGTCTATGCTTTTCTTAAATTCCTAAAATCCATTTTCAATCAAGTTCTGGTTGCCTTCCCTTGCTGCTAATCAGATATTGAAAATATTAGAGGTAAATATTAATTTTAATCAAAATATTATTAGAAAGTTAGAAATGAAATGTTGGATGTTATTTTGTATTTTTGTGTATTACGTTGAATTTATATTAATTTAAATTTCGTACTGAATTTGATGGAATGCCTATTTTCGGAAATATATACTTGTGAAAGAAGTCAGATTATTTTAAGTTATGTTTTTCATTATATTGAATTTATGTTATTGAACAAACAACTGATCGTTATTAAAAGATTAGTTTTGTTTTACATCATGATTATATGAAAATAAAATTTAAAAATAGAATAAAATTTAATTTGGACCGTTGTTGGTTGATATATATATATATCTTCATAGTAACTCATGGAATTTTGAAATATTCTTATGGAAATTTGAAATATTCATGAAAAAAGAAAAAATAAATCGGGAATATCATCAACCTGAATACTGTTTCAATAACTACCGTTTTCTGAGTGTACATGAGCTTTTTTTTTTTTTGGTCCTTCTTTCGGGTCGTCAATAATTATACAATAACGAATTTCAAGACTTTAAATTTTTGAAAATTAATATATATATATATATATATATATATCTCGTATGTTTGTGCTAATTGGGTGAATTGTTGTTTGCCATTTGTGTGTAGTGGGGCATAATCTCTTAATTTGATTTGAGAGTCACTCCGGAGGACGTTTCTGCGTTATTTGTCTAACTTCATCATCCCATTTGAGGTAAGTAACTATTATATTATAGTGGCCAAAAAAAAAAAGTAGCGATTATATTAGATTAAGTCATCTAACTGATTTATTTATTTATTTACTTTTTTTTCTTTTATTTAGCTTGATGAAGGAATTCTTTTTTAACGTTTTTTATGATCCAAGGATACCCTTACCTTCATTATCATCTCGCTACTTTACATGTCTATTGTATTGTCTCATCTCTTATATTCTTTGATTATCATTTGAACTCAATATTCAGATTCTTAAATAACAAATAATTTTATTATAAACTCAAGTCTCACCTAAGCTTTTTGCATATGAAAAGTATTTGTTTTTCAATCAAAGGAACTATGGTATTTGTACATTAAACACTGAATTTATTAGATGCGTTTCTTATACTACCTCCGGTCCTTAATATAAGATTGTATTTGACTTTTATTTTGATCTTAAATATAAAACCTCAATCTACTTTATCTCTCGTATTTACTCGATTTTTTCCAAGATAGTCCTTTTAATAACTATAGTTCTAGTTAATACACTTAATTAACAAGAATATTTTAGGAAAAACAACACATATTTAGGACAAATAACTAACTCAACTTACTTCCTTAATCTCCTCAAATTAGTCAACTGGTTTTTATAATTAGGACTAGAGGTGGTAGTTTTCTGAAATTCACTTGATTTAATTTTTTTATAAGTAATCAGGTATTTTTAATTTAACTCAATAAAATTTATTAATATGATTATTAAAAGCTTTAGTTTTTCTATTAAAATAAAAGAATGTAACGATTTTTAGATATGCATGTGCTTTGGCCAGTCACAAAAAAAATGCATTCAATTTTGGCTTAGAAGACTTTTTCTCCTTGTTGATATATCTATATAATACGTAATTACCATTTACCAAGATTACTAGGTAACGTTGTTATTATTTGGAAAAATGGTGATTACATATATAAGTTCTAAATAAAGAATTTATTTTTAAATAAGTTTTGCGAATTTACTTAAATATTACTCTAAAATAGCTCAATACCTGGTTATAATTATTTTTTCTTATGAAATGATATAGACGTAAACCAGTCATGAAAATAATTTCTTAAAGATTAATTTTTATTAAATATTGTTCGCTTGGAAAACTCTTTACAAGTTAATTTCAAAATAACGCCATTGTTTTAATTTAGAGACAATCGTTGCTTGTTTCTTTCTTGCAGCTGAAGATATCGCGCAAATCTGAACTTCAGAATTCCCATGACAACATTATTTCTTTATCTTAGGTGTCCTTAAACGATACATTTCTTTCGGCTGGAAATTATTAGAAAACACGTGTTACGAAATTATACTAGATCGCTTGCTTTAACATAAAAACGATTTATTAGTTTTGAATATTAAAATCCGCAGTCAATGATATTACCTACGACTCTATTTATATGAACTAGTTAACTAATTTGAAGAGATTAAAAAAAAAAGTTAAATTAGTTATTTGTAATAGGGAAAACCATATTGAAGGTACCTATACTTTCTCTCAATTTTTAATTTGGTACCTATGTGTTTTTTTTCTCTTTAATTAAACATTTAATTTTATCTTTTTAGCAACATTAGCTCTTATAACTTTATTCTATTGATATTTTTAGTCTCTACATAAGAATTAATGATGTTAATAGAGGAAAAATAAAGATTTAGTTAAGAACAAAAAACACATAGGTACCAAATTGAAAATTGAAAAAAAGTATAGGTACCTCCACTATGGTTTTCCCTTTGTAATAAATAGGTATTGTCTTTCTTAAAATATCCTTGTTAATCAAGTGTATTGGTTAGAACTATTATTGTTAGAAAGACTATTTTAGAAAAAAAAATATAAATATGAGAGACAAAATGGATTGGGATCTTATATTTAGGATTAAAATAAAAATCAAATAAGATCTTATATTAAGGACCGGAAGTAGTACATAAGATCAATTCTACTATATACGTCTCGTGTTTATTTATTGTTTGATCATTATTTGAACTCCAAATTTGAGTGTTTTATCAAGGTACTATATATACTACATAGCGTTATATATTCGCTTATTAATAGAAAATCAAAACATTATTGGACTTTAAATTAACTTTTCAAGCATAATAATATTAAAAATTAAACGCAATCTGTTAGACACTTCTTTATAATATATTATGCTGAATTTACAATAATTGAATTTTGTATACTCGAATGAGTCCCCCCCCCCCAGATTACTTGTCAAGTTTCGCTAAAGAGAAATACCAACAAAAAAAAACTGTATACTCGAACGAATTATGCTGTCTCTATCGAAAAATGAATGAATTACGCTGAATTTACAATAGTTGAATTTTGTATACTTCTTGTTTCTGTTTCTAATTGTTATTTGCTAATTTCGTGTAGCTGGGCATCTCTTAATTTGATTTGAAGTGGATATTTCAGCATCACTCGTCCCATTCTATTCTGATACTTGAGGTTGGTGACAATTACATTATCTGAATAACCCACATACCAAAACTCATTATCTATTTATTACTTATTTTTATTTTTAATTGTTTAGCATGAGTATAATAAGGAAATAAATTCTCAATCACCATAGGAGATGGTATCCTGATAAAATACTCAAGTAAAGAACAATTTTTTTTATTTTTAAGATTTATTTATTTTAATCCAAAAACTAGTAGTTTTATTATCATCTCTCTACTTTACTTTACATGTCTGTATCACTTTAGATGCCACTATATAGAGTGGAACTTTCTTTAGAGACCTGGCCTTTAGGTCAGATTCTTATAGAACAAATAATTTTACTATAAAATCAAGTCTCACCTGGAAATTTTTTTAACATAAAAATATTTGCCTGTCAAACAAAGGATCTCAAACTTGTACATTAAACAATGCGTTAATTAGATGTTATTTTATATTATTCTTCATTTAACATAATTTATGTTTTATAAATAATTATATTTTAGTTTGAATCAGTTAAATTTATTAATAGTATGACTATTAAATGCTTTAGTTTTCCCATTAAAATAAAAGTACACTGTAGTAGTACTTATATTTTGAAAAGAAAAAATTCTTTAAATAAAGGGAAAAGTTCATTTTAGGATCATTGTTGCTAATTAATATCAGTCAACTTTCAAAATTTCAATTAACCCCTTGGATTAAAATGAAATCAAAATTTAAGAATAAAAATACAATAACACCTCTCTTTTTTAAAAAAAATAAATATTTATATGTTGTCAGAGTTCTGACTACTAGCACTCAAGGTCAAAGCTCCAGTGGCCGGAAAAAAAATTTTAAAATAAAATGGCTAAAAAGATTTGAACCCATGACTCATCAACACGCTAAAAATAATATAACCACTAAACTCAAAATATGATATGGTATCATTTTTACATCATGACTTGTCTTTTCATCAATTCATGTTAACTTAAACAATAACATCGCATGTCATTGAAAAAGAACAGCATTCAAGTACTAGTATTTTTACATGACTTTTAATAAATTTTTTAGTAAGGTATATATGATCGGAATATCATTTCCTTATTTTAGATATTCTTTGTTCTTTAATTATATTTATTTTAACTTTAGAAACAAAACAAATTGATGAAGTCTATTGCATCTATTTTGTCGAATTCTTAATAAATCCCTTAGCCGCAAAAGATTTAATGTTGAACTATAATTATTTTACGGCAATATCCAACAAATATATTTGTTCCAATTCTTAAATGGCAGCATACACTACATTATGAAAAGGATTTGAAGAATTTACTTTATTTTTTTCAAAAAAAGTATTTTTCAATCAGTCCACAAATTTATTGAGTTCTTTATTCTCTTTGTTTCTAATTTATT